TGTACTTTTCATTATTTGTAAAATGTTGAGCAACTGTTATGAGTACAGCTTATGCTGTGGGCAACACATGGTAATTCTTATTTGCTGCCTTGAGGAAATTATCTTTGGGAAGATAAGATCAACGCATATTAGAATTTCCTGATCATATGAATTAAATGAAAAAGCCCACAGAAATAAATTATAAATGCCCAATAAAGTTAAAGCATTTCGTATAGAGAAAACCCCTGGAATCTACATGCATTTAGTAGATTAGTGAAGGTTTCATGGAGAAGGACGAAAATGGTCTGTGCCTCAGACGATGCTAAGGAGTTGTAGCAGGGAGTCCACATGGTGTTTTTGCAATTGTACTAAGGCAGGAATGAGGCCAGTGTTTTCTGAGAGGGAGTGTACCAGTTGGCCTAAAGAATAGGATGCAGTTTCATTTGAAGGATAGTTGAAGATGAGAGGACAAAGAGGGTTCAGATTATGGGAGTCTATTTAATAAGACTTTGGAGCCATATTTGGAGATATGACTCATTCTATATGTTGAAAACCCTCAGTTGGAGCTGGGGATTGGGGGATGGACCCAGTCAATATTATTGATAGGAAATCTTAAGTAGAGTTCAGAATGTGGTTTTGGAGAATATGATGGGTATAGTTAGGGTGATCAACTATCCTGGTTTGCCCAGTACTCTTTCAGTTTTAACTGTGAAAGCCCCATGTCCTGGGAAACCCCTCAGTTGCAAGCAAAGCAGATGGCTGGTCACGTTAGGAATAGTTCAGACGGGTGACTGGGATCGAAGGTCCAAACCAGAGTGACGCATTAGTGTGTTAACAAGAGAACAGAGCGTGACAACCAGAAATCCAAAGTAATTCAGAGCTCTGGTAGGCAGTCAGTGGAATTGAATTATATTTTGGCTGAGAGCAATTTGACCAAATGAAATTTAGTCAAAAGCAGCATTGTCATAGCAACTTTATGTGGCACTTGGGTTGAAATAAATTTTGAGAAAAAGGACTGTTTTAACCACTGTCTTTCAAGTTTTATATCATGATGAAACAATAATAATAATAATAATAGCAGAGCTGCCATTCATGAATGCTTATCATATGCCAAGCACCTTACCCGATTTTACAAATATTCTTTTAATTCTTACAACCAACAAGCCTGTGAGATAAGCATTGTTAATTTTCTTCATCTTGCAAATGAGGAAACTGGTGGTTTGAGACTTTGAACCCTGGCCGGCCCAAAGCCTGTGCTGTTTAGTCCCTATGAGGTACAACTTCAGGGTATCAAGAACCAGGTCTGTTTATTATTTATTGTAACACCTGTTAATTCTAGAAACACTGTAACGTATGGACTAGCAGAAGATTCTGCAAAATACTTAAAATTATCCCTTAATTATCCATTAATATGTTTGTTTATATCTTTTTCTTCGTGGGGGCACATTGTATGTATGTATGTATATATGTATACACATACACACACACGTATGACATATATATTTTTTCCCATCAAAATTACATTTTGGTAAATTTTAAAACCAATTGCTAGGTATTTAATTTATTCCAACTTCTGTTGTTGGACATTTAGGCTACTGCAGCTTTTTGATGCTACAAGCAGCTAGCAGTACAAATAATTAGCTGAAAATGATATAAAAAAATGAAGCAAAATGAAACAAGACTAAGAAACAAATTCAGAATGTTGGGCAGTAATGCAGGAGATGGATAACAATTGTATCACTACTCACTCTGTGTTGTATACTGATTACCAACACAATGAAAATCACTGGCTGAGGAATATTTGCTTTTGGGGTGCCTGAGTGGCTCAGTTCGTGAAGTGTGGGACTCTTGGTTTGGCTCACGTTGTAATCTCAGGCTGTGAGATTGGCTTCCTATCCTGTGGGGCTGTGAGCTCAGTGTAGATTCTGTTTGAAGGTTCTCGCCCCCTCTAGTCCTGTTCTCCCCCTACTGGTGCTCTCACACACACTCTGTCTCCCTTTAAATTAAATAATTTTTTTTTTTTTTTTTTACAAAGGAATATTTGCTTTTGAACAGGTCATCCTGTTGAACAGCCTTCTTTCAGCCAAAGCATTTTTAAAAAGATTTTATTTATTTATTAGAGAGAGCATGAGCAGGGGGAGGAGCAGAGGAGGAGGGAAAGGGACAAGGAGACTTTACGCTGAGTGTAAAGCCCTACCTGGGGGCTCAATCCCAGACCTCAGATTGTGACCTGAGTGGAAGTCAAGAGTCTGACGCTCAACCGACTGAGCCATCCTGGTGCCCCCAGCTCAAGCATTTTCAGCAAAATCGCCAGGAACCCATAACAGGAACCATAAGCAGGACCCCAGACCCCAAGCAGAGTCCAGAAGGGTGCTAAATCCTAACATGTAAATGTAAGGAGTGATTTTCTTATGGAGGGATCTATGTTCAGGGGAATAAGCCACAAACCCAATGATCAGAAATGGTGGCTATAAGAAGAAGTAAATTTCAGGATCTGAATATTAGAATAGTCATCAAAGCTGAAACGCAAGGTCAGAGCCAGGCTGATGACAACAGGGAGTTGATGCTGAGTCCCAGGACTTTGGGTCAACACCTTTTAAATCCTTCTTGCCAATCGACATGGAATTGGGCTTGGGGGTGAGCCTACAGGTGAGGAATATGCCCTAAGAGCTCAAGAGAGCTCCAGTGATTAGGAATCTGGCAGGTTCTGGCAATGGAAACTTTTGAAGAAGGAGAACAATATTAATGAAGAGTTGTTATGCAATTAAATTAGTGAAGTGTATGGAAGGAAGCTTCTAAGAGGATACTTCTTAAAATTATTATGGTAGCAAATGAAAGGAAGAGATTCTTGGACTGGGTAGTGGTAGGAATTATACATAGAAAGTATCTATATTTCTATAAAATAAATAGATTGGAATAATACCTGTAATGATAATACCTGTAATGTAATACCTCTTTGTACCATATTTTGGCATACAGACAAGACATGTAGTTGGCCCTTGGTGGCTATATTGCTATTACTTTTATTAAATTGAGATTTTAACTGGTATATTAATTTTTTAAAATTATGGAGTTCCTAAATAGGCATGCTGTGTCTTATGATTGCAGTTTAAGTGAATGTTATCATGTTTTAAAATTAAAAAACGTTATCTTTTCTTGGTGCTATGAAGGCCATCATAAAATTGATGATTAATATTCTGGAGAGATGTTTCAATTAAATTTCTTGTCTATTGATCAGATAAGCACTAAAATTTCTGATTGTATTCTGAAATCTTCATTTGTTGCTTTGGGTAACTTTTGGCAAGTGGTTTCCAAACTCTGGAAATTGCCACTTCTGAGTTAATTTAAAAAGAGACCTCTCTTTTGTTGAGTGTCTGTGTTGTTTTTCGTTTATTTTTGTTGCACAAAGAGTAACAATTGTATAGAAGTTAATTGTGTTCTTAATTAGAAATAACTTTTTTATAGTTTCTGCAGGTTTGAAATTCAAAAAACTTCCAAGGATGCTCTAAATATTATAGAAACATCTTTTAATTAATTGTAGCTGATAGTTAGATTTGTTCAATAACTCGAACTTTTGCATCAAGCCTTTCTTGACCAGAAATGATGAATATGATCATTTCCATTTCTTGCATGGAATTTTCTAATATATATTGTTTTAAAAATTATGAAGATTCTTTTCATTGTAAAAACCAAAACAAAAAAACATATAACAGTATTGAATATAGAATACTTTTCCTCCCAGCCTCCAAACGATAACTGTATAACAGTTTGATGCATATTTTTCCCGACTTTTCATGAGGGTTCTGCTTATGTAAAAATACATACACACACAAATACATGTCTTACACGTTCTTCTCCCTCTCCTCTTCCTTCTCCCATTCACCTTACCTCTTCTTCCTCCTCTTGTCTCTTCCTCCTTAACAAGAGTGTGGTGATAATGACAACAGAGGGAAGGCTTTGTTCTTTGTTCTCTCCGTTATTGAATTTCACTCTTTGGTGGAGCTTATTGTCCTTGTCCTTCCCTCCCCTTGCCTACCACCAAGGTTCAATAAATTCAGGCTATGCTTTGCTTCTCTTTATCCTCAGCAGCCAAACTAGGAGCCCTCCCAGAACAAATCCTCAACTATGTAAAAGACAGCAATTCTGGGTGTTTCTCCTGGGGACAGCAAGCTAAGCAGCCCCAGTTCTGGCCTCCCTGGTGATTGGCCGAAGGCCCAGAGGGGCTTTTTGTACCAGTTCATTCCAAGTGTGAAGTTTCTCTGGGGTTTCCTTGGGAAGTAGTTTCTTTGTAACATTTTTCTTGTGTCTGTTATGGGTTGAAATTTCTTCTAAGTAGTTATCTATCATTTCAACCCTGATTTCTAATCTTCTAGAATTCTGAAAAAAAAAAAAAAATTGATGTATTGATAGCAGAACTTCCTTTCTTTTCTGCTCTCCTGTCATTTCAGTGGAATTTAGGTACACAGGATGATTTAGTCAATTCTTTAAACCTCTCAGGTGCCTGGTCTTTTTTCTGTTTCTGCTCTAGGCTTTTTGGAAATTCTTTTAGGGTTCATTTGCTGTTCCTCTGGCTTATATTATAAATTGTAATTTTTTTCCTTCCAGTTTTGGATTTAATATTAATCATAATTAGGTCATTGATAGCACATTGTTCTCTAGGTGCAGAAATGACACCATTACTTAACAAATTTCTTCTTACTGCATTTACGGACCTCCACAAGGTATTACTGCATTAGACAAATTAACAATGTGAAATTCACTTTTAGAAATATAAATAGACTTTCATTTGATATCTATAAATGTCACTATCTGTAATATATATTTGTATTTTATTTGCCAGGTGACTGAATGTTGTCAGTTTCCTTTTTCAGTACCTAGATCAGTTGGAGATATAAAAAACGGGCACATGGTACTCAGTGTATCTTAAAATAATTTCTTCATTACTATTAGAAACAAATGAGTGGATCAACATTTTTAAAATTATTTGTCATACAACAGCATATTTTTAAATTTTGTCTCAGGAAGGAGAAAACATTTTCTATTTGGCAATTGAAGATATAGAAACAGATACAGAGCTGCTGATCGGCTACCTGGACAGTGACATGGAGGCCGATGAGGAAGAACAGCAAATTATGACAATGATCAAAGAAGGGGAAGTTAAAAATTCTAAAGGACAATCAACAGCTGGCAGAAAAGGTATTGCCTCTAACTGGTGATCTGAGAGAATGGAAGTTGTAGGAGAAATACAGTTTGAACTGTGGGTGAATTATAGTTGCATTATCATAGGGTGTTGTCAAAATAGTTGTGGTTAGAACTACTCTCAGAGGCTATCCGGCTGTAAGCCCATCTTTCTTCCAGCAGGAGGAGAATGGAGGGCGTGGGTGATAGATGTACCCTATAGGACAGCTAAGGTCACTGCCAGCTCCTGGCTCTCACTGCTCTCCCTGGTATGTCTGGGATGGCGAGCAATGAGGAATTTTGTACTCCAGCCCTGAATCTGCCACTAGTCAGTCTTGTAACTGAGCAAGTCACTAACTCTTGGAGACATTACGTTCTCATCTGCACATGGGGAAGGGCGAGTGCAGAGGTGTCCAGAAGGCACTGCTAGATGGACCCTCTGGGATTATTCCTTGGCCTCCCTCTTGTTAGAGATCCTTGGAGAATCTGGAGCTTCTGAAAATCTCTTTCTGTTCTAACTGTAGACGCCTGCAGAACTGTTGGGTTGTTTCAGCTGGGTAACCAGAAACAGTGTGTGGACTGTAGGTCTGACCCGCTTCGATCAGGCCTGCAATCCAGGGATGTCGCTTGTTTGCCATCTGCTGGGGAATAATCAATTATTATTGGGACTCGTTTCTGTTATGTTGTGTTTTACACCTTCTGGGGTTTGAAAGAAATATGAATGATGTTATAGGTATTAACATTTTGTAATGGGCTGAAATTTACCAGAGGGTATTTTTCCATTTTGTTTAGCAAAGCCATTTCAGAAGTGACACTAGTTTCTTTAGTCACCATGGTCGTAATGTGTTTCATATGAATTTCCTGTTCAAACTGTATGTTACTGGCTGAGAAAGTATAAGGATTCCCAGCATTGCCAGCCTCTGCTTGTGTTTTTTTATTTTAGTTGGATTATTTAAGGGGAAGATGAGGACAGGCTTTCTGTTCTATCTTTCAAATATGCATTTTGCAGTTTTGCATTTCAGACTTTGGGTGATGGCGACTATTTCTGATTATTCTGTGTTTTCTTTTTGAGGGGTATTTATTTATTTATGTGAATTACAATATTACTGACTATTCCCTATGATATACTTTTAGTATTTACTTTATTTATTTATTTAGTTATTTGACACAGAGAGAGAGAGATCACAAGCAGGCAGAGAGGCAGGCAGAGAGAGAGGGGGAAGCAGGCTTCCTGCTGAGCAGAGAGCCTGATGCGGGGCTTGATCCCAGGACTCTGAGATCATGACCTGAGCCGAAGGCAGAGGCTTAACCCACTGAGCCACCCAGGCACCCCAGTATTTACTTTTTTAATGTCACAACCCTTGGGCATGTTATTATTGTGTCTACTATCTTAGCTTAAAAATGAGTCTCCTGCTTATTTATTATCATCCTGATTTTTCTTCAGTTAACAAATACCAAATTCCATTACTTTTGTAAAAATAATCAACAGAAACTTAAAGAGACTTAAAACATATGAATCAGGTACTTACATTATTAATATTATTGCTATTTTTATTTTAGAAATTAGTTTTTATTAATAAAAGCAACTCGCCCAATAAAAACCCAGAACATAGATCAACAGACCCACAACACAAAAGAAACAAATAATCCACTCAGATGTCAAACCATGGAGAGTTTAGTTAAATAATACGGTATGCTATTTTTTTTAATTGAGAAAATGTTGAATGGAAAAAAGAAACAGACGAAATTGCATAAAAAGTATGATCATAAATGTAATTATCAGACTGTGCGGAAGATACGAATGGACAAAAGACAAATCAGACTTGAGAATATATTAAGTGGTTTTCTCTTCCTTACAGGGTTCTTGGTCATTTTTATTTTCTTCACATTTTCTAAATTTTCTAAATCTCATTTTATTTAATAAAACTTTAATACAGGAAAAAAATCTGTAATGTAAATAATGTACTTTGAGAAATTTGGGTGGATCTGTGACGGTCCATAGGGACTGACAAGCCAGAGACGCAATGGAGCCTCACTACACCTACCATAATGAGTGCTGTTTTTATGACCTTGGTCTTTTTCACATGTATGTGAGATTCCCCTTGGTGATTCCACGTAGTTTGCCTTGGTTGGATTTTTTTCTCCTTGTGTACTCAGTGAACTCAAGATGACCTGTCTTATGGAAAGTTTTTGCTTTCTCATTCAAAGTTTGTAATCTCTTTGATGTGAAAAGTGAACATTATAGGGTAAATTAACAATTGATTTTGATTTTGTATTAATTTGCTGGAACATGAGAAAGGAATTAAATGATAATGTATTTCTCTCTAGTAACACTTCCTATTATTTTTCATGGACAATATTATTAATACTCATAGAGATAAGCATTTATTATTCTGATATTGTTAAACACAATTTTGATTTTAAAATGAAGCTAAAATTGAGCAATTCTTGGCTCTTAATTTTTGTCTTATAAATCTGTTTCCTTGTCAATGTGCAGATTGCCTTGGCCGTAAAGAGGACTATGCTTGTCCCCAGTGTGACTCGAGTTTTACCAGCGAGGAAATTCTTGCTGAGCATCTTCAGACATTGCACCAGAAACCTACTGAGGAGAAAGAATTTAAGTGCAAGAACTGCGGGAAGAAATTCCCAGTTAAGCAGGCTTTGCAAAGACAGTGCGTATAGCAAAGAATATCAAAATTATAAGCTAATACTTCTTTAACTATTCCATTTAATTTGTTTTACAGTTTCTAACTTGTGCATGTGCATGTGTGTGCATGTCAGAAAGAGATAGGGAGGGAGGAAGATAGTAAATATTCTATGTTGTCATTGTCGTTAACTTATCTTAGTTTATTTAGTATGTTGATTTTGAAACATTCTGATTATGAACTTCACCGAATGAGCATTGTTTATGCTAATAAGTCTTTGTCCATTTAATTATTTGCCATTAAATATCAAGCTCATTGGTTTACTAAGCTGAAATTCAGTTATGCAAAATTTAGTGCTCTGAGGTTACAGATCAAGTTTCAGTTGTCTACGTTTGATCTTCTCAGAAATCAGTAAAAGAAAAGTTTAAGAAATGGAGAGAGTTCAGAGTATCAAGGAAATGGACATTTTGGAAAAGAAGCACTGTTTATTTCATGACAACTTAAGAGGAACAATTTAAAGATGAATAAGTATAGGATATGACATTAAGATGCATTAAATGATCCCACACATTGCTCTGCATCCTTTATTATTTTGACTTTATATTAATAGCATATTGTCTTTTTACTTAAATATTTTACACTCATTAAAAGTGAGAGGTAGATACATGTATTTTTATTTTAAGAATGTCACTTTGGGGCTGCCTGGGTGGCTTAGTGGGTTAAGCCTCTGCCTTCGGCTCAGGTCATGATCTCAGGGTCCTGGGATCAAGTCCTGCATCGGGCTCTCTGCTGGGCGGGGAGCCTGCTTCCTCCTCTCTGCTTGCCTCTCTGCCTACTTGTGATCTCTCTCTGTCGAGTAAATAAAAATCTTAAAAAAAAAATAAAGTCACTTTGTATATGAGCAAGAAATCTTTAATAGAGACTTACTATTTCATTTTTTTATTCATTAAAGTAAAATTCTGAAGCATGCTATATTTTATATTAAGATAATTTTCACATATTATATGCATCCGCGTTGCTTATGAAATTTGCGATGAAGAATTTCTGCTGAAAACTTAAAAGAACTTTTATAATAGCAATAGATTAAACATTTGGAAATTCTGTTATAGGCTTTTGGGGAAAAAAAGAAAAAAAAAGCATGGGCTATATACTTTTTAGTGAATAGACTTTAAAACTGTAGTCCAGGGGCTCCTGGGTGGCTCAGTGGGTTAAAGCCTCTGCCTTTGGCTCAGATCGTGATCTCAGGGTCCTGGGATAAGCCCTGCATCAGGCTCTCTGCTCAGCGGGGAGCCTGCTTCCCTTCCTCTCTCTCTCTGCCTGCCTCTCTGCCTACTTGTGATCTCTGTCAAATAAATAAAATCTTTAAAACAAAACAAAAAACCTGCAGTCCAGTCAGCTTTTATTGAATCTATACCAAATATACTTTTGTTGAGCTGGGTCTTACAATGAAATGAGGTACTGATCAAAATTTTAAGGGCAAAAGACAGAGTGAAAACAGAGATCACAAATATGATTCTGTTTAAAGTAGAGAGATTTTCTTAAGTTTTTGTCTTACATTTCCAGTTTTTATTTATTTATTTGTTTGTTTGTTTGTTTTCTGTCTTCCCTCAGTGTTCTTCAGTGCCCGGCGAGAAGCAGTCTGAAGGAATCTTCACGAAGCTTTCAGTGCTCTGTTTGCAGTTCTTCCTTCAGTTCAGCATCGAGGTTTTGTGTCTTGAGTTCTCAGATGGCTGTTACTTAATTGTGGGTCATTTTTAGCATGCGTGCTTTCCATGCTTTGTCGTGACTTAGTGTCACGAGGCTGCAGTGGGAATTTAAGTGTTTCCTTTTTACCTGCCCAGGTAGTGCATGAAATGACCCAGAAACTGTTACAGAGCTCGCGTTGCAAAAGCTTGGCCATGATGTAATAATTAGTTAAGTATGGCCTCACCATCTCTTCTCCCTTTTCCCCTTGCCTGGTTGTCTTGCAGTTTTGAGCAGCACCAGGAGACCTGCCGGGGAGATGCCCGGTTTGTGTGCAAGGCCGACAGCTGTGGGAAGAGGCTGAAGAGCAGGGATGCTCTCCGAAGACACCAGGAAAATGTCCATGCTGGTGAGAAGTCCCTGCAGGGTCGTTCTTAAAGGGGCCTTCTCTCCCTGGGCTGCAGTGATCTGTTTTTAATTCTTGCTCTCAAGGAGAGAGCTTGCTTTTCCATCGGACTCACACAGATGTGGAGCTCTGGCAGGGGACTTTTTTCTTTCACTGAACACTGTTTCTTGTTCAAGTTGATTTCGGCAGTATTTGTCATTTTTCCTATGTCTAAAGTAATCATAGCTGGAAACCTAAGCTAGAACCTACTGGAGCTTGTAGGGAGGTGTATTAAGAATTAATATTGTGACAATTTGCAGGTGAAATACGAAATTTCTCTTTACGGAAACATATTTTAAAACTATTGCATAATGCTCTCATGCCTTAATATTTTTACAGTAAAATTCTATTTTTTAAATATATATTTCTTCTATATTGGAGAAAATTACTGCATTTTGACATGGGAATTGAATGTATTTGAATTAATAAAGCAGATACTATTTGAATGCCTTCTAATGGGAAGCTAAACAATAAAACAAAGACAACAGTTGACTGTCACTTAGATTGTATCTGTTTAGCACATGGTAAATGTATTTTGGCTCAGGGACCAAATCTATGGCGCGGAGTTGAACAGATGGCCGTATTGTCAGAGTTAACTTTTCGCTTCCTTGGTGTCTTTTCCTTAAAGGAGGCCGACCTTTGTGGAACTCCTCATATCTGTCTGTACCTACGCTTTTCTCATGTGTTTACATTTGCCCTTGGCTTCTGGGAAATGCATGGAAAGATGTCTTTCTGAATATGGGGAAAGTGGATTTCTCTTCTCCTATCTTGTTTATTCTCACATGCGTGAAAACAGGATACTCAGTACTAAGCCTCCATATCCTATGTTCATTGTCCAAAAATTATCTCCTTTAATGTTAAAGTTATATAGAAGCGATTATGAGTGTGACTGCTGGCTCCCACTTGGCATCCCTGGGTGGGCCTCGTACTACGTCTGAGCTCTGTATGGAAGTTCTAAGCAGTAGAAAGGATGGCTTGCAAAATACAGCTTCAGGATGCTTTCAGTAGGACTTTACAGTGTTCTGACTTCTTTTTTTCCTTTGGAAGAATATACAGGTGATTTAGGGAAGATGGCATTTTCCTGAATTCATTATACTTGGGCCTTCCCTGTGCTTACAAAAGGCAGGCATAACTTTTTGATAGACCTGTCTTCGTAGTTTTTTTTTTTTAAGCTGTTATGTTTAAAATGCTGTTTTAATTTTCTCCATCCTTGTCTGCAATGTATTATAACGAATCTTTCATGTCATTTTTAAAGTTAACTTTGCTGAACTAAGTAAAAAACCAGATGCATACTGAAACTCTGGAAACTTGCATTCTTGTCATTGGGCATGTGGTCTTCAGGCTGTGTTATAAGCGTAATTTCTTTGAGGCTTCTTGTAATTGGCCTTGAATATTATAATATTACTGATTCTAGAAATTCATGTTGACTTTGTAGGAAATAATTTATAAGAGGAATTTTTTTTATATTTCTATGTTGTGGAAACATACAAAATATGGAACGTACTATTATTAATTAGAGGTTACTATATGTACCTTTTGTTGGGATCAGTACATAATAGGTCTCTCATTCATAGCCCCTCTTTTGCTTCTCCCCTTTCTTCGGTGTGATACACAAACATTTGGAGGAAGAATATTCCACATTCAGAATAGCAAAGCAAAGCAGTGTTCACACACATGATTGTAGAATGCCTGGCAACATACCTAACCCATATTGTACTGAAACTCACAGTACTTAGATGACTATGTATTCAGTACGGTTGTATTAATTTCTCATACATCTTCTACCGTCATAAATAATGTGTTCCTGAATGTTTTTGAAAGTTGAATCTGAAAGTCAAAAATCAGATTTACCTGAATATAGCAAAACTAAAATAGTATAAAGTGTAGTTACGGTTTGGTAGATGCTATTGTCCTTCAACCTAGGGAAGCTGGTAGAGTGGTGAGGACCTTCAAGTTATCCAAGAGGAAACAGTGGAAACATAGAAAGGCTGGACTTCCTTAACCCACTTCCATTTTTTTCTTCTGTTTAGGTTCTGTGGATACTAAAACCAAGAGGTTTTGTGTTTATGGGAGATAACATTTGTCTGTACTCTCAGGCAAATTGTCATAAGCTTTAAAAAAATTTTTTTTTCTCAAAAGAATTGGCATTTTAGTCCTAAGGTGAAGAATAGAAGACATGAGGAGAAAAGGAAAGGTTGCAGGGTAGGGATGAGGGTATGGTATACTGCCTATGATAGCTGGAGGGACAGTGGCAGGAAGATGAAAGTAAAGTAAGAGGTATGGTTGGGGATGTCTCACTTCTTTTTTCTCTTCTCTCCCTCAGCCTCTGACCTATCTGTTTGGAAAGGATAGGATCTAGTCTCAAGGGGCAGCTGGTTTGAGGGATAAGATAGAGCAATAAAAGATTATGGATTGAAGGAGGGAAATGCCAGCTAGTAGGAGCTGGAAAAGAAGGAATATTCTTTCTCAGTCGACCTTCATGTATTCAGTCTATATGTACAGAGAATACTGATTTTGTTTGTGAGAATTTTCTCCCTCAGTAGCCAAATTACTTGTCAATCACTAAGAAAAATTTTCTTGGCTATAATATTCAGCATGCTAAAAATAGTGCTATTATTTTTGAAATAAGTAACTTGAAGGGTAAGACCAAAATTCATATTTTTCTTTTTCTAAAAGTGTTTTTCTTTCATAAACATAATCAGATGATAAAATCATTCTGTAAAACTTTAAAAAAAATTTTTTTTTTCCAAAATAATAGATAAATGGGGGAGGAGATGGAGTTGCAGTAGAGGCAGGAATAGCCTCAGATTTGTCATTGCTGGGGCCAGGTGATGGATACATGGTAGTTCCTCATACTATTTTTTACTTTTTGTATATTTGAAATTCATTAATTACACATTAAAAAAACCCACTCCAGTTATTTGTGGTAGTGCAGATGGTACTATTATTACATCATATTTGAAAAAATGTTTTATTGAGTCTTCATTCCTATAACCACTGTGAAATTTGAAATTTGAAATGAACTACTATAATCACTATGTAGGAAGACAAAATTGGGCTTGTTTTGATTTGTATATTAATATGAGTGCCAGTATAATGTTTTATTGTACTTGATTTTATTTTCTGGTTTTTAATATTAATATGAGAAAGTATATGTTCATAGATTTTGCAGGAATCTAGTTCTGGAAAGAATAATATATGAATTCCATCTTAAGAAATCCATATGATTAATGAAATATTCTGTTAAAATTTAAAGCAAGTAGCAAAATCAACTCATGAGTTAATAAATCCCGTAAGTTTTTTTATAAACACATTTGATTAATTTCAAGTACAATTTTCCATATAAGTATGTTTTTAAAAATTTTACATTAGTTTATGGAAAGGTGAAAGACTATTTAATTTATGTAGAAAGTGGTATATCATGCTGAATATTTTTCATATTTAAAAAGAAAGGGTTTAAAATGCAGTTTAATGGATGTAATTATAACACTGGAAGTTTTGAAATTCTAAGATGAAATACCTGTTTAGAAATTATGTATCACCTAGAAACATTGTATCTGATGCTCCTTCTAATTTTCTCATTTAAATCATGACAGCATTTTATTTTCATTTTAGGAGATCCTAAGAAAAAGCTCATATGTTCAGTGTGCAATAAAAAGTGTTCTTCGGCATCAAGCCTGCAGGAACACAGAAAGGTCAGTAAGATAAAGATTAATGCTCATCAGAATATAAGATCTTTTAGTCATTTATAGTGTCTGCCATGAAAATTTTTAGTTGATTTTTTTATACTTACAGAGACAGAGTTTTGTCATTAATTTATATACTAACATATTCTAAAATGCAAGACCAATAATGCAGAAAAGTAAGCTCTTGCAAAAATAAATTTTGAGTTGTTTATCACTCAGAATTAGTAGAAATATTTCTCCAGTGCAAAGTGTGACATCTAGTTGAGCCTGTCACTGCAACACCTCATCCTGTTTCAAGCTTTGTCAGTTGCTGTTTGCTCAGGAAATACCATATATTTGATGAAAACATATAGTTCTGTGCATTTATAATATGCACCGTAATAGCACTTAGCTATTAAAATGGATGCATATTATGGTTAAATCTGGCAAAACAAAAACAAGAGCTCCATTGTTTTGAAGAACTAAAAATAATGTACAAGTATGTCAAAGGGTTGTTACCAGGAGCGAATGGTTATATTTGCAGAAAATAAATTTAATACATTTTGTAATAAGCATAAAACTTACTAAGTTACTCTTTTTATGTGGAAATTTAACCTGAAAAATACACTGTAGTTATTAACCCTAACAACAGTAGCCCTCATTAATAGAATTTACAATAGAACTAAAGTAGAATTGCAATTTTTGTTTTTATTATAGCAAAGTCTAGAAAAATTCATACTATATCATATTGTCTTATATTGTAATAACAAAGAGAAGTGATTATTTTATAATTTCACATATTGTCAAAATATCTAAGAACATATAATATTTTCTTTTAGTGATTTAATATCGAAGAAGAAAAGAGATGGTACTAGTGAATATAAAATTTTACTTTTCTTGTGGTTTACAAAATTAATTTATCTTTTTATTTGTATATTGCTATAGTCCAAAGTAATCTGACAGACATTAAAGTTCATATGATATTCAATCTGATAGCTCTAACCATGTGCCATGGATTAATCTACAAACACGTGAGATAGTTAGATGGAAAAGATGTCTGAGGTTATATTTTATATGTTGGGTGATTGTGATCCTCAGGGAGAAATAATGGAACAAGCAGTGGACTGAGACTGAGGACAGTAGGTGTCATCTTCTTCTGTCCCTAACACTCCGTGTACATGGGGTCTCTGTTCTCTCTTTCATTAAATGTGACTTGGAACTTTTTTTTTCTCTGAGTACCATGAAACTTTTTTTTCTTTTCAGTTTCCAAATGGTTTTCTTATGGGATTGTTTAAAAATTATAGAACACTTGAAGAATTTGTACATAATTCTTGTGCACGGACCATGCTTATCTTCACTGTATCATTCCAGTTTTAGTACTTGTACTGCTCACTTCACTGGCATGGCTTCTGAAGAAGAACCTGGTCCAAGACAAAAAGAAATTGAATCCAATTGAATAGATATTTTCTAATATCTTTATACTTGTATGTATTTCCGGTCTGTTTAAATCTTAAGAAGTTGAAGTGTAAGATATTTTGCTAAATTAAAGATTTTTCCCCATAGAATGTTTCAGCAAAGTTGGTTGTAGGGCATATTTCTGAAAAATGTTCTACTTTCCATTTATTTTTTTCATAATACAAGAATCTTTTCCCCAAGGAATATTTTGGCAGATCTAAATACTACCTGGTGGTGGTAGAACACAGCACCCAAGTTATCTCTGCAAAATGCTATTAACTTATTAGGTGAATGTGGCACTTCATTCTAGCATGGCTCCTTTAACTTAGCCTTTCAGAACCCATAGGCAGCTTTTACTGACTCTTAACAGCTGCTATGTTGAATGTCTAATAGAGTTTGGTTGCAGTATTTTCCCTTGCCAGTAGAGGGTGCTTTATGAATATACCAAATTACATCATAATCTAGACTGGTATCTTAATTACTGTATACTATCCTGTGTTACAGTTAGACATATTATGATCCTTCTTGAAAATGATCTAACTAGGGACTTCAGATTGTAAGTTATTAGTAAGCTGGAGATTTTGAAAATTGTGCTTTATTTAGCATTAGGCATAAATAAATGGTGTTATTACATGTCCTTTTCACTTGAAATCTGATTGTTTTATTCAGCTTTTTGGGAATTTTTAAACATAGCTTCGACCTGAATTTTCCACTGTAAGTAAGATAGTCAATACAAAAATGCTTTCCTGTACAGTGAAAATTCTATTTTGTGATTATGGAAAATCAGTTCAATTGAACCTTTAAAAATACTTCATGTTTCAGGAGCCACTAGAGTTAAGAAGTGAACAAGTATGGGTACTATGCTGCAGTATTTTATTTAACAGTTAACATTTTATATATGGATGAATAATTTAAAAAATTTAGTTATTAATATAAATTTCATATTAAAATGAAAATAAACTAAATATATTTTCATTTATGTGTGGTTTAGAAGGCACATCATCTTTTTTAAGGGTATGTTGTTATTATAAAAGGCACATCTTACAGAAACAAAGAGTTTAAGCATAAGAATCTCTTCATACTGTCTTTAAATAGACATTACCCATAATATCATTGCTCCTTAAATATAGTTGTTCAACCAAAGCCATGGTGAGGGTCTTTGATGATTGAAGAGGCTGTCTTTAAAATGGCTCAGCCTGAAAGTTTTTCTTCTGTACTGCATAGTTCTTGCTTTCTGAGTACTTGTGCAGAGCCCACATTGTTTTCTGAGGAATCCTAGAACTCTCTGGACTCCATATATTCACTGACTGAGATGAGGTGGCACTGTATGTAAGTGGGGATGTAAGTTAGACTCCAGTGGAATGACATCGTTCTGCCTGTGCCTTGTTTATCTACCTTTTCTCTGCTCTTCACAGATGAGGTAACTGACTCACCAAGAGTCAGGGCTGACCGAAGCAGAGGGTGGGTAGGCAGTCTCAGACCTGCCGTGTGATTGAGCACAGAATTAAGGCACAGACTGCAGACCTGGGTTCTGTTAACTTTCCCCTAGCTTTTGTTTCCCTGCCTTATCCTTTCTTTTTACTCTCTCTGTCTTGAGCTCTTCCATGGCCACTTAGATCAAGAGAGTCACTCATTAGAATGCAACCCAAGCCTCCCCTCGTGACTCACTGCTGTTCCAGTTCATGGTCCTCTGCCTTGATTTCTCTGCAGGGGCCCTACTTATTCTGCAGGGATAAGCATAGTACCCGGCTTTCTGTGGAAGGGCCTTTGCTTCTCTGATGTTTAGTATTGTGAGCTCTACCTTTCATGAGGTTAAAACAAGAGCACTATTTTTGAATCTTTGGCAAAACAAGGATGCTTTTGTTCATTGGGGCGGTTGATATTTCTCATACAAGACTTCTTGCAGTACATTCCTTTTAGAACTTTGTGCATTGTTTCTGATCATAAACTGGGCTTCTACTTTTTCATACCACCTATATGATTTCTCTGATGTAGCGTCTGGGAGGAAAAGCTAAATTTAATTTTATTAAATCCAATTATAATAATTATTTAGCCAGTTGTTTGCTAAGGTTATGCTCCTCCTCTTCTTACTCATTATGGTTTTTGAGCTTTTCTTTCTTTTTTTTTTTTTAAAGATTTTATTTATTTATTTGAGAGAGAGAGTGAAAGAGAACATGAGAGGGGAGAAGGTCAGAGGGAGAAGCAGACTCCCCACAGAGCTGGGAGCCTTCTGTGGGACTCGATCCCGGGACTCCAGGGTCATGACCTGAGCCAAAGGCCGTGGCCTAACCAACTGAGCCACCCAGGCACCCTGAGCTTTTCTTTTTATTGTGGCCTTCCTGTCATGTAAGAATCTCACTGTGAGCTAAATGTCTTTCAGAATCATGTATCTTCTTGCCTTTCATGGTAAATAATGTTTTGTTCTGTACTATATATATTTAAATATAAAATAGTTTGACTACTGTAAAGGGAATCTTATTACCTATAGGTTACATATTTCCAAATCTAAATTTGTGCATAACAGAGAGTTAATGGATATTAGGTATAACTTTTTACAGAGTGTAGAAATGTAATATGCACTAAATGGGTCAGCTATTTAACATACTTACATAGTGTGCTGCAATCTTGTATTTTATTTCCTTTTTTAAAAATTTTATTTATTTATTTGAGAGAAAGAGAGAGGGTGGGGAGGGAGAGTGAGAGGGAGAAGCAGACTCCCGACTGAGCAGGGAGCCCAATGCAAGGACAGATCCCAGGACGGATCAATGACCTGAGCTGAAGGCCTATACTTAACCAACTGAGCCACCCAGGTGCCTCTCCAATCTTGTATTTTCTTTTAATGATGTTTTTACTTGGTAACATGTTCATTACATTTTCAATTTATATAAGACACTGAACAAATTAGGGCTGAATTGTAATACATTGATATTACAGTAACAGCTATCCACATGTTTATACTTTTGCTCTAATTTATTTGGCTTTGACAGTTGACTTAACTGTCCACTTAACCTTTTGCAGATTCATGAAGTATTTGATTGTCAAGAATGTATGAAGAAATTTATTTCAGCTAATCAGCTAAAACGTCACATGATCACTCACTCAGGTAAAATATATATTTTCCATTCAAACTGAAATCACTGTGAAAGATTCACTTTGTCATTTTCAGGAGCTCTGAGAGTAGTAATCAGGAAATCTGGCTCTTAGTGCTAGATTGGTCATTAACTAGTCATGTGATTTTGAACAAGTTACTTAGCCTCTCTAGACCTGTTTATTTATAAAGCCAAGGTGGTTGGACTAAATGATACACAAAATCTTCAGAGTCACCATTTAATTTTTAATCTACTCCTGTTTGAACCTTAGATTCTGTTCTTTATCTGTGAAAAGGTATCCTACCTTTCAAATTTGCTGTGAAGATTAAATGAGATCATCATGTATTGTACTAGTGTAGTGTTTGAATTTTAGGAGGAATTCAGCAATTATGGTTTCTACCTTGCTACATACTTTTATATTCTAACTAAGGTACTGATAAATGTTAATGAGAAGTTTATAAATGCATTTTGAGAATATGTTTTTAAAGCTACAGCTTCACTTTAAGCAAGTTTGAGTAATAGGTCTGTTAAACAGATTTTTCAAAAATTAGTTCTGAGAATAAATTTTGTTTTATGAAGTATCTTTCTGTGGTTTAGAATGTCTGTCATTGGAGGCCATTGAAGTCAGAATGTTTTTGAATATCCACTTTCTTGGAGACAGATATAGATATTTTGACAAATGAAAATAGGAGATCAGACACCCGTGGTCTGTTCAGATATGCTTTGTTTGAAACAAACAGTGGTTTTTAAATCTGGTGATCAACATTACATGAACATGGCACAAATATGGATTTTATACAACAACCTAAGTGTGTTGATTCTGCTGAGAATTGAAGCTGTGCCCATATGGGGTCCACTTGTTTGAGTAGGAGGCAGGTCTGTCTGTTACTTTTATCACTGTCAGGCCACTCTTGACATTTGGAATTGTGACTTTGGTTTAAACTCACACCTACTAGTGGATTTTTCATCTGGAAGTAGGGTTTTTTCTTTGATTTCAAATTTTATCCTTAGATCTCAGCTGCTTTATGCATGTAGTTTACAATATGAGTCTATAAGAGAACTAGCTCACATTTCTTTTGTGAATAGGCTCCTATATCTAACAGAAATGGATTGGTAAGTAGATTCTTTCTCTCAGTTGTTTCAATCATGTTTTCGTCGACTTATCCCTCAGAAGTAGTGTAAGGTAAGGCTATTTCCCTTTTTATCCTTTACCTTTATATAGATATGAGATTGTCTCCACTCATTTTTCACAGAAAAACGACCCTACAATTGTGAGATTTGTAATAAATCTTTCAAGAGACTCGATCAAGTGGGCGCCCACAAAGTAATACACAGTGAAGATAAGCCTTACAAATGCAAGCTTTGTGGAAAGGGATTTGCCCACAGAAATGTTTACAAGAATCACAAGAAGGTAAAACCTTATTAATATTATTATTTTTGCTGAGTTGCTGATTTGATATCTAATCATTTATTTTTTAAAGGGTTTTTGTATATCTGGACATGCTGTACATGTGGAATAGTTAGAGGACGATGTTGCTTATACTTTGTACCTCCTTACTCATGCCATAACCTCACCCCGGCCTTGTTTCTGTCTTCCTCCTCCTGCTGAAACTGTTCGTAGAGCAAAGTGTCATCCAGTGTTTCCCGGTGTTGTACTAATTGCAAAGTCTTTTCTTCTTTTCCTTTTTTTCTCTAAAATTTGACACTCTTGTTCATGGCAGCTTTTTTGAAATTCTCTTCATCTTTGGTGTATACTTGGCTAGGTGTTCTGCCAGTTTCTCTGGACACTTTCGTGTCTCCTCCCCCTGGAGGTGGACTTCTTCTAGGTTCTCTGTGTCAGCTACATCCATGACTTCAGCCATCGACTCTATATCAGCAGATCCCAAATGATTTCTTTCTTTAACCCAGTCTTCAGACTCACATTTATTTTTCTTTATTTGATACATAACTGGATATCTTTTAACCTAATGAATTTAGCATGTCCCAGAATGACCTTTTCGTTCTTTATGCCCCAGATAACATCTCTTCTGGAGATTCTCCTTTCTGTTAATGAGAGAAGCGTATACTTACTCCTGTCTGTTTCTTTAGTCTTAGACCCTTTTTAAAATTAGAAGCCAGCTCTTTTTTAAAAATTGGTTTTATTTTTTTGTATGTATGTATGTATGTATGTATTTTTTATTTTTTGTATGTATTTTTGTATGTATTTTTGTATGTACATATTTTTGTATGTATTTTGTATGTATTTATTTTTAGAGAGAGAAAGAAAGTGATCAGGGGAGGGTCAGATGGAGAGGGAGAGAGAGAATCTTTTTTTTTTTTTTTTTTGAGATTTTGTTTATTTATTTGACAGAGAGGTAGAGAGAGAGCACAAGTAAGCAGAGCAGCAGGCAGAGGGAGAGAGAGAAGCAGGCTCTCTGCTGAGGGCTGAGGGCTCTGCTGAGGGGTCAGTCCCAAGACCCTGAAATCATGACCTGAGCCAAAGGCAGCTGCTTAACCAACTGAACCATCCAGGTGGCCCAAGAAAGAGAATCTTAAGCAGGCTCTATTCCCAATGCAGAGCTTGACTTGGAGCTTGACCTCACAACCCTGAGATTATGACCCAAGCCAAAATCAAGAGTTGGAAGCCCAACTGACTGAGCCACCCAGGCACCCTTAGAAGCCAATTTGTAAAGATTTTACCCTCTACATTGGCTCATCACCCTCATGGTCATTCATTCCTTTGCCATCCTATCATCCTGATTATTGCTCATCTTCATTACTTTAATACCCATGTAATTAGATTCTTACTACATGTCACTTTCCACTTACCCATCCTTGTAGATAAATTTTCCACAGCGCAACTCTGTCACTCTTGTACTCTAATATTAGGAGTAGATTTCCAATGACTATGTAAGTTATGGTGCGTGCATGTTACCCTGTCATTCAGAGTCCTCTACCCATGACCTTAGCTTATTTTTCTAGATTTTTTTCCTTTTCTCTGCATTAGTAATACCTAAGACAATTTGACATTTGTCTTCAGTCAGCATGACCTAACTTCCCCTTCTTCTTTTCTTTCAAGTTTTTATTTTATTTTATTTTTAGCTAAACTCTTCACCCAAAGTAGGGATTGAACCCATAACCCTGCAGTTAAGAGTTACATGCTCTACCGACTGAGTCAGGCAGGTACCCTACCCCTTCCTCTTTTCTGATAAGACTCCAAGTTATGATCTCTGAGTTTTCTTAATTAATTTTTCTTTGCATTTCCTATGCTTTACCTTTACTCTGGTTCTTATTTCAGAATGTATTAATTTTATCTTATCTACTCTGTGTTGATAATAAATAATGTTTTAGTTGAATTCAGAAAATTTGTCCAAAGACATTCAACATCTTAATAATGTATATTAAGATGTATTTATGATGTGATAAAAAATTGATTTTTAAAAAATGGTTTTATTGAGGTATAAATGGCATACAGTATTATTAGTTTAGTGTATACAAATAATGATTTAACATTTGTATATATTGTAAACTGATTACCACAATAAGTCTAATTACCGTTTGTCATCATATAAAGTGAATACAATATTATTGACTGTATTCCTTATACTGTACATATATCCCCATCACTTATTCATTTTATAACTGGAAATTTGTGTCTCTTGATTCCCTTCACCCATACTACCCCTAAAACTCCCTCACCTTTTGGCAACCACCACTCAGTTCTCTATCTATGAATCTGGATTTTGTTTTGTTCTATTTGTTAGTTCTTTCTTTCTTTCTTTCTTTCCTTCCTTCCTTCTTTTTTTGGATTCCACTTATAAGTGAAATTATTAAGTATTTGTCTTTCTCCATTTGATTTATCTCATCTAGCCTAATACCCTCAAGGTCTATCCATGTTGTCACAAATGACAAGATTTATCTGTGGCTGAGTAATATTCCATTGTATAGACATGTACTGCATGTTCTTTATACATTCATCTATTGATGGATACTTAGGTTGTTTCCATATCTTGGCTATTGTAAATAATCTTACAGTGAATGTAGGGGTACCTATATATTTTTTTAAATTAGTATTTTGTTTACTTTGGATAGATACCCATCTGTGGAATTGCTGGATCATAAGGTAGTTTGTAATTTTTTGAAGAAATTTAGTACTGTTTTCCATAGTGGTTGTACCAGTTTAAATTCCCACCAACAGCATATGGGGTTTTTTTCCTACATTCTTTTCACCACTTGTTATTTCTTGTCATTCTGATGATAGCTATTCTGGTAGGTGTGAGGTAATATATCATGTGGCTTTGATTTGCATTTCCTTGATGATTAGTCATGTGATCATCTTTTCCTGTTGGACATCTGTATGTCTTCTTCAGAAAAATGTCTATCCGGATCCTTTTTCCATTTCTGGATCCTTTTTCCATTTTTTAATGGGATTTTTTTTGTTGTTATTGAGTTGCATATGTTCATTATATATTTTGGATATTAACTTTTTATCAGATATATGATTTGCAAATATCTTCTCCCATTCTGTTCATTTTGTTGGTGGTTTCCTTTGCTGTGCAGATGTTCTTTAGTTTGATGTAGTCTTGTTTGTTTATTTTTGCTTTTGTTACCCTTGTCTTTGGAGCCAGATTTGAAAAACATTGCTAAGACTGATGTCAAGGAATTTACTGCTTATGTTTTCTTTTAGGAGTTTTATGGTTTCAGGTCTTACATTCAAGCTTTTAATCCATTTTAAATTGATTTTTGAATATTTGGTAGGATAGTGGTCTAGTTTCATCCTTTTGCATGTGGTTGTCTAGTCTTCACAATACTGTTCATTGAAGAGACTAGTCTTTCCTCATTGTATATTCTTGCCTTCTCTCTTGACCATATTTGCATGGGTTTATTTTTGGGCTCTCCATTCTCTTCCATTGATCTATGTGTCTATTTTTTGTTAATATCATACTGTTATGATTATATAGCTTTGTAATATAGTTTGAAATTTGGGAATGTGATACCTCTGACTTTGTTCTTCTTGATCCAGATCGCTTTGGATATTTGAGGTCTTCTGTAGTTCCATACAAATTTTAGAATGATCGTTTCTACTTCAGTGAAAAATGCCATTGGGGTTTTGGTAGCGATTGCATTAAACCTATAGATTGCTTTGGATAACATGGACATTTTAACAATATTAATTCTTCCAATCCATGAGCATGACATATCTTTCCATTTATTTGTGTCTTCAGCTTTTTTCATCAATGTTTTACAGTTTTCAGAGTACAGGTCTTTCACTTCTGGTTAAATTTACTCCCAAGTATTTTATTCTTTTTGATACAATTGTAAATAGGATTGTTTTCTTGATTTCTCTTTCTGATAGTTTCTTATTAGTGTATGAAAATGCAGTGGGTTTTTTGTGTGTTAATCTTGTATCTTGAAACTTGATTGAATTCATTTATTAGTTCTAACGGCTTTATTGTGAAGTCTTTGGGGTTTTTTATATATAGCATCATGTCATCTGCAAATAGTGACAGATTTACTTCTTCCTTTCAATCTGGATGCCTTTTAGTTCTCTCTTACTAAATTGCTTTGGCTAGGACTTCCAGTATTAAGTTGAAAAAAGGAGAGAGAATAGACATCCTTATCTTGTTCCTGATTTTAAATGAAAACTTTCAGCTCTTCATCATGGAGTTTGGTGTTAGCTGTGGACTTGTTATATATAGCTCTATAATGTTGAGCTGCATTCCCTCAATACCTACTTTGTTGAAATTCTTATCATAAGTGAATGTTGAATTTTGTCAAATGCTTTTTCTTCATCTCTTTGGGATGGATGTACGATTTTTAACTTTCATTTTATTAATGTGGTTTATCATGTTGATTGATTTGTGAATATTGAAACCATCCTTGCATCTCTGGAATAAATCCACTTGATCATGGTATATGATCTTAATGTGTTGTTAACTTCTGTTTGCTAATATTGTGTTAAAGATTTCTGTGTCTCTTTTTTTTTTCCTGGTATATTGGCTTATAATATTTTGTTTTGTTTTTTCCTCATCTCCTCCACTTCCTCCTCATCTTCTTTTTCTGTGGTGTCATTGTCTAATTTGGGTATCAGGTTAATATTGTCTTTGTAAATTGGTTTGGAAACATTCCCTCCTAAACAATTTTCTTTTGGAAGTGTTTGAGAATGATAAGTATTAAATCTTCTTTGAATGTTTGGTTGAATTCACTGATGCCATCTTGTCCCGGACTCTTGTTTGCTGGAAAGTTTTGATTACTGATTCAGTCTTCTTAGTATAATTTGTCTACTTATTTTTTATTCATGATTTGGTCTTAAAAGTTTATTTCCGGGAATTTTTCTATTTCTTATAGATCATCCTTTTTTTTTTGCATGTAATTTTTTGTAGTTTTATGATGATTTGTATTTCTGTGGTATCAGTTTTAACATCTCCTCTT